GTTTCGGCAAAATAATACTTTTTCCAATAAATGGTTACTAAGTATCTTTAAATGTTCTTATAATTCTCTTATTTATCATATCTATAGTTCGTTAAAGTACAAGCTCACTGAAGTACAATTCCCTATATCGAAGACAAGCGAAAATCGGAAGTTTATGAAAAAAAAAGTCTTATTGACGAATTCGTGAACATTTATGAATAAATAACTTCAAGGCTCGTTTTCGAGCGTGACAGCACGAGAATGTGACTTTATGCGAAACTGAAAAATCAAAGAGTCATTCTCGCGTGATTAGTGAAGAACTTATCGAAACTCTATATATATATATATATATATGTGTGTGTGTGTGTGTAACTTTCTCTAAATATAATATATATGTTAATGTATATATGTTAATGTATATATCAGAACTTGTTTTGTCTCTTATCGAGCAGTCAGAATAAAAATATGTCTGAAAGATAATCTACTTCACAATTTGTAGAGCACAAGACGAGTATCAGTTCTTTATCAGAAGACGGATCACGTCAAGAGTTAATTAAGCTGAGCTTCTGATCTGATTCTGACGGAGGCTCAGACTCATTTCTGATCTGATGTGAGTCTAATGGAGAGCTGTTACTCATTGGTAAATACCTACAAGCACTGAACATACTCAATGCTTAACGATGTATTTGAAACAACAGTTTTTCTTTTTATCAACTTTTATAGCCGTTGAAATAAATTACGGTTACCTATGCGTGTGACTTATGCAACCCTGTATTCATAATTGATTTATAAAAATATTTTTAACTTCTTTAAACAAAATTATTTAAAAAAAAAAAAAAATCAGTACGTATAAATAATACTAAACTACAAAAACGGAGTAATAAAGAAAATCATTTTAGGAATAATCATTCCGATTGAAGAATTGTATAATTAAGATATTATGTGAGAGTTCTGTAGATCTTCAATTATTTTTAAATTATTTATAAATATGCATGTATGTTGGAATTTCTTCTTTGATTATATTTCAGATCTTATCAATGGATCATCAAGTAACACTTAAGATTATACGTGGATTTAATATTGATAGATTTTGTATTATTCTCTGTTCAACGTTTCGTGTTAGTAATTAGCGGAATCAAACTCATATGCAATTTACATATCAATATTATTTGAAACTAAATTTTATATCATCCACAAATAGAATCAATGTAAATTTGAATGTTTCGAACTTTTGGGAAAACGGATATTTTATTATTATAATGTTATTGCTCATTATTTCATACTGCAATGGAAGTATGCCTGATAATATAACATTAGTAATCTCTAAATCTATATTTTATCAACAGCACTTAAACGTATTAAATATACTTATTTGTAGAGATCTGAAGAGATCGCGCGCTCTACATATATTACATATGAGTGGATCATTTCATTCAGGTATATTATTCTCAGGTGTATTATTCTCTAGCATTCACATATATACGATTGGCACTTTTGGAAGCGTAATATATGTGCCAAACCCCTATTATCTTCCAGAAGTGTTAGTGCTTATTTATGCGATCCTTTATCGTGGCATACGATATGGACTAGTCTTAAATTCTTCACGGTAAACAGATTGTCATAACAGTCGTAGATATCCTCTTCATTAATCGTGTCTTGTCGCGAGATCTGCAGCAGCTTTGGAATAAGTGTCCTGGATCTTTCAATTCTGCAGATGACAATCAGATTATTTCAAATCTACGATTTTATTAATTTCTTTCATAGTAATAAAATAAACTTTGCTAAACGGTTTTTACGCTGTTTATAAATTCATATTCATTACAAAGTAAATAAATTGATTGCTGTGTGTATAATATTGGGACAAACAGTAAATGATAAAAAGTAATCAAATTTTGCCAATTATTGAGGGCCAAATATTAATATTGCCAATCAAAAAAATATTTTTCTGGATTTAAATTTTTATCGCAAAGTTTCTATACATGGTTAACAATTTCATAAAGTCATCCAGTGTATTATAATGAATTACATCAATCAAGGACAAATATTACATAACGGTTATCTTACTTGTGATCCAAATTCCATGTAGAGAATAAGACAAGATCCTCCTTGGATTTGTATGGATTAATCTTGTGTCTATCGCCGTAGGGACAGCCATCGGTGTTCCACCGACCTTCGCATTTGAATTCGCCTTTCTTATTGCAAATAGCAATTTGCTTTTCTCGTAGTTTCACACGATAAAAACAGCTCTCCGAATCGTCATTCGCCGTTTTCGTGTTTTTCTCAGACGCGAGGCACTTCCTTGCGTCCGTTTCGTCAATCTTATCTGAATTAGCAATCGAATTAGTATCGGATGACTGAGGTAAACGTAGATATCGTTGATGAAGATATGTTTCATCGTCAATACGACCAAAATTGCAGGGACAGTGTTCGTAACATCGATCATAATCGGTCTCGTCATTGTCGCTTTTAGTGTCAGACTCTGCTCTGCTCCTGTCAAAATAATACCCGAAATAGTGATCCTGCTTAAGTTGAAGTTTGAAGAATGCTATTGTATGCAGAAGCTGTTGCCTCGCCTTGTAATCGTTCATGAACACGTCTGAACATTTAATTTGTTCAATCGTTTTATAAAGATAAGTGCGTATTCTATCCTGACATCTGCGATGCATGTATGCTTCCTATAAGTAAAGGATCGATTTAATTTCAAAATTTTTAATTTATGTAGACGCAAAAAATATATTATTTGTAAATTAAAAAAATATTAATTATATCATGTAATATGTGCGCAAACATCATATTTAAGGATATATTATTCATATTTTCAAAACAATGAAAAAAATTATGAGATAATTATAAACTATTTTAGATCACATTCAAAAGTAATACACAAAATTCAGTTTAAAACCTGAATCATAAATTATTTTAATGAAAAACTAGAAATGTTTTCTAATGAAAATGTAATTAAGAAATAATGACAAGAATCTTAATTTCTTTGTATAAGTATTTAAAATATTTAGAATGATTTAAGTAAGGCTTTATCGCTAAACAAAATTTATTTATTTATTTATTTACAAAACAACTAATCTCTGTATCGCTATAAATCCTCTTGAATATTTAAAGTACATATATAGAAAAATTAAGATTTTGTTTAAAATAATTTAATGTTTATTGACAAAATAAATTAACTATAAAATGTGTTCAGTAAAAATATAATGTTATTTAAGCAACTTTTGTGTATGTATATAGTTCATTATAATATAAAATATTAATAATTTCTAATTTCAATTTATGCGGTTATTGTATGGATGATACATCCTTAACAGATGTCGGAATATATGGGTTGTTAATTAAAATATTATTAAAGAGGATTTTATTGAACATACCTTCGTCATGCAATTAGTTTCCAAATTTTCAAACCACTCCGGATGTTCCTCCCTTGTACTGAGCGCTGTCTTAGAATCATCCTTGTTCAACACTTTGTTCAACAAAGCGACTTTTCCTTTAAGATTCTCTGTCAGGAATTGCGTCACCCTGTCGCCGGCAGTGAGGAAATCAATGTTCACGCGTCTCAGTGCTTCATAGAGAATGTCCGCGTCTGCAAATCATTCGTCCTTGAAAAAAAAATTGTGCAACATCCTCGCACGTGTCAGTTAAAAATGGCGATCTGTTTTTGCAAAAATGCCGCGCCTAACTTTGCCAAAAATTCTAAATTTGTTTTAAAGTTTCTAACTTTGCAAAAAGTTCGCAAGCTTCAAGAGGCTGACACTGGATTGGAATATTTAATTCTGGCGTAAGGCCAAACGCGCATTGCATTCATTTTTGTATCATGATAAACTTATGAATTTTTAAACCAATGTATCTCGGAAGTGTTCTTAAATTATAGCGAATACTACGTAACAGACGCACAATGCAAAAATCTCACGAAGATCTAGCGAAAAGCTATAACGAAAGCATAGTAGTGTCAGCTTTATACAGCTGCGAATCTTTCGATGATTAAAAACATCGTAATTGCAATAACAGCATCAATTGGAAGAATCAAATGTGTACGTAAGATCTACATGTATATTTGAAAAAATGATTCTTAGTGCTCCATTTTCAGATAACTTGTGATAATTTATTTAATAGATAAAAGAAAGAGCATAGGAAGAAGAGAGAAAGAAAGAGAGAGAGAGAGAGAGAGAGAGAGAGAGAGAGAATGAGAGCGAGAGAATGAGAGCAAGAGAGCGAATAAATTGACATTTATTGAAAAATGGAACAACTCAGCCTGAATGGTTCTTCCTTTTTTTATAGCGAATTCAGTTAGGCACACTCATTGAGCACTTGTGCACATTAAGCTGTCGTACACAGATTGATGTAAAGATATATGTTCAATATAAATACAGAAATGAATTAAACTACGAAATCCTCAATACACTTTATTGTATGATGCTGTTAGATAAAATATTTAAAAATTCTAAATATTTGCATTTTACTTTTACTCAGATTTACTATTAACTACTACTTTTATTCAGATTAAATCAGTGTAAAACGGCTTTATAATATGCATCAGAATGCACTAGTGAGTAGAATCGAATTTCCTATAAGAAATATAAAAAGTTAATGCAAAATTTTAACAAATGATAATATTTTCTATTGTCTAAAAAATGAAAACAAATTGTTAAGTTGAGTAAATTATTTCAGAATTAAAAATCTATTAGACATTTTCCGTGTGACAACTTCGTAATTCTTCCTAGCCCTTCGATGCTGTTATAATAATCATCTTCTTTGTAAACCTAATTCCTTAGGTTCCATAAAATTCCAAAATAATTATGTTATTGATTAACTCTAGAACGATTAAAGTCATCTCAAAGATTAAAAATAAAATATTCAAATTCTGAACATAACATAATTTTTTTTCTGTTGTTATTGTGTAAAATGTTTCTTGTTCCAATTTCAAGCATGCTTAATGTTATTAATTATCGTATTACATTGTTGTACTAACCAGATAACACTTTTTCTCCAGGCTTTTGCAAGATCAAAGTAGTCTGTGGTTCCAATGTATGAAAATATTCTTCATCGATCAATGATCCGTCTAAAAGGAAGACATTCACTTCTGTTGGGTCGTTAGTTACCTAGAGAAAACGCAGGATCGATCAGTGTTTATCATTCTACTTCATTAATTCTCTTTGGACAAGGGGTATTACGTTTTATATATTTACATTGAAGAAATCCTTTTCCTCTTTGTTCACGAATTAATTAACGTTTAATTCTCATGAATTAATAATTTTGAATTAATGAGGTAATAAGAGAAAATATTCTATATCTCAAATCAGTCAAGACCATAATGTAATCCTGTTATCTTCTTATGGAAATATAAATAATTTTCTCAAGGCTAAACACAAGGTTTTCATTAATTTTTACATCACTTCTCTAGCATGACGACGTCATTCTCATATTTCTTTAACGATTCTAAATAATGGAGATCAGTATTGTAAATTGCCGCGTATTCTATGAACTTTCAACTTTTCTCTTCAACAGCGAAGTTGTCAAAAGTATAAATATATAATATGAGAAAATTATTGAATCGCATTATGTTAAAATTATTATCATTATTATAATGTGATGCTACTTCAGATACGGTAGAAAAGCATATTATATTTGTATTAAAACTGTTATTTTTGTATTAAAATTTTTAATATATTTGGTGTTAATTTGTAATTGTGTTATTTGAGCATTTTATGCTAAAGTTAAATTAACATAAACATTTTATTGGACATTTTGACATTTAAATGTCAAATATTAAATTTAACAAATTTTTCCGATTGTGAAGGAATTAATCTATTTATAACGATGTTATCAAAACATATAGAAGTAGAAACATTGTTTCGTCATTTTAAAATTGCTACTGTCATAATAATTTTTTAGTAGATAATACTTTTTAGTAATATTTTTTAGAAATAATTTTTTATTTTATTTGAATGTAATACGCAAGGTTTAATTTTGTTTTTAATTTCTTTTGGTAATATTATTCAAGAACGTCAATTTTAAGAAGCGAATATTTATAATTTTGAGTAACTCGGGTTGACATTGACCTAACGAAATTATTTGGATCGATCTTCGAACCAATGCGAAAAACAGATTCGCGCCCTTAACATTGAGATCACTTCCTGTCCCTGGCCCGGCTGGTTCGATAGAGCCAGCGGTTGCGGCCGACCAGATGCGGATTTCAAGGGCACACTAAAACTGGATCGACCTATCTACCCGCGAAATGCTATCACCGATTACGTCTCTTTCAAGGGCAGGCATTGAAAAAATGTGCTGGGTACAAATCGACATTAAATCAGACATTTATATCTCTTTATTGGTATTTTTATCATATTATCGCAGTTGTATTAAATATTCACATTATCATACCAAAAAAAAGAATATAAGGGAATATTTAACTAAATATCACAATTAAATAACATTTTCTTTTTCCAGTAATTTGTATTCCTTCTTATTACATTATAAAAAATAAAAAATTGAATTGCTTACTAATTACTATTACTTTAATCACAGAAGTAAAGATTCTTTTCTCGAGAATATCAATATGTATAAAAATCATATTATTCAAGTAAAACACATTGTTAAATATTACATTGTTAAATATTATATTGTTAAATATTTATAATGTAAAATTATACCTAAGTTATACCTTTGAGTTATTTTTAATCATTTTTAATATATTTTATAAATCGCCATTGCTTCTTCATATATCGTTAATCTAATTAAAATTGAGTTAAACAGTTTAATAATTCAAAAAATATTATTCATGCAAATTTATTTTATTTCCTAAGTGCATACATTAATACAGTAGTTTATACTAACAAATTAACACAGAAATTTACATATACACGAAAGTTAGATAACAAAATATTAACGCGCAATTGGATTATCATTAATATCAAATTTGATATCTCTTTTGATATCAAATAGTATAGCCTTAATATACAAATTTTATTTTCTTGAGAATTTTTAAACTATGCCATCATATCTGCACTTAATGAGACAATATTTCAAGAGTATACATGTCAGCTTGTTAATTTCTATAGAATATTCTTGTTACTTGATGCAAGTTTCTGTACATCTCTTTAATGAATAGCTTTCTATTTTCGCAATGCTACATTAAGCAAACACTGTGACCTATGCTATGTGTCTGTGTTCCAATTTACTACTCCTATTAATCTAAAGATTGTAGCGAATAATATAAAAGTCATCACAGTACAATACTGATTGCAAAATAACTTGGAAGAAAGTCAGGACGGAAATAGCTAGAATATATTAAACATAATTTAAACAATTAAGTGTGCGCATAATGAAAAGGAAGAAATGCATTGAATAAGTATATTGAGAGTCTAGTAAATCTATACAATAATGAATCATTTAATGCACGTGCACTGATCACTATTCTTGCTTTCGCAAGAACAAATTCCACATTCCACGAAGCATTTAATAGCCATAAATTGAACAGCAATTCATAATTAACTTATGGTCATTCAATTGTAACTGCATCGGCCGTTGTTTTTAATCTTTATCGTGATCATTTTGTTATAAACAATATATATATTTGAATCAAAAGTACGTAATAATTACATGATGTTTACTTTGAACATTCTAAACAACGCAAATTGCTTTTTTATTTAATAAAAAATATTAAATGAAGAGTTTCTAGGATCATACATATGAATATATGACAAGAAAGGAAAAAAGCCTTGGCGGTCAAGCTGGATTTTAAGTGCTTATTAATTCTATATGAATTTACATACTATTTATGTCATCATTTAAATTGCGCGTCAAATTAAATAAAAACTCGCATTATTTATATAATAATAGTATTGTGTATTACGTGAATTAGCATTTCAAAATATATAAATTCAATTCAAATCTGTATCAATCATTAACATCTAAATATTCAATAAATGTAAATACGCGTATTTACTTGACAAACTTTGTTCCATTTTTGCGCAGTTTACATTGTTTGAAAACATGTTGAATCATTCATATGATACGGTTTTTGTTACGACGTACATATGAACGCATTATCCAAAATTATAGCTTACCATAAAAAAAAGATCATTTATGACTATCATTTACTTCATATTAATACTTACATTTAACTTTGAACACGCCTTCTGTTTTAAATCCTGAAAATTTCGGCAGGCAATACCGATTTTTCGTGTACGATTCACATCGGTCACTTTGTAGCCTTTGAGCTGAAATAAATTTGTCAAATAGGAAATTATAAATTAATTATATAGATATAGAATTTTATTAATTATTTAAAAATATTTATCCCAGTTAGAAGATGTTTTTTTAATTTAATATTTTATATAAATATATAATAAAGTATGCTGTGCAATCTGCATGAAATATGCAGTTAATAAAGCTTTCTGACATATTGTCATTTTTTAAATGCTTACAGAAAAAAAATAAAAACTTAAAG